GGCGGTTGAAAATGGATGAATCAGAAGATTCTGCGATTATATCAATCTGGTTATCTCAATTAGAATTTTAATAGATTTAATCAAAAAATTATAATTCGTCCACTTTCAATTAAAGTTTCAATCAATTCAACTAGATATCTTTTCAGTGTACAAACTTTCCGATTGATAACACTATACTCATTAAATTCTTTGGAGTGGAATCTCACTCTAAAGAGTGAAAATTGAGCCTAACTTAAAAGCAAGTTCAATTTTCAGTCTTGAGATTTCACTCTTCAGAGTAGGATTCTCTAAAAGTTTCAGAAAGTGAGTATGTATTTTGATTGACAGTTGAACCAACCGTATAAGAGATAAAACCTCTCCCTATTAAGTTCCCGAAAGATTAAGTTTATCCATCCAAATTTAGGCATTCAATTGTAATTTCCTGTGCTATCAGGTGCCAATCAGCTATTCGGATGCGCGCGGTTTACCTTGCAAATGCAGCGGAAGCAGCTCGTGTTCAGGATCTTATCGACGGTGATATCTTCTCCCTCGATGTCGCAGGTCTCCCGGCTACCTGTAATCGAACAGCAACAATTGTAGTGAAAAGAATGAATAGAGACAGAATACGAGTACATATGCTCGCGCGTGATATCGATTGTGTATCACGCCGCAATATCCCGGTAGCTAGTCCAATAGCGCGATAGAGACGCTATAATCACAATGCAGCATTCCAATCGACCTTCGTTTATATGCTAGAGGCTTCCTCATTCCTTCATACACGTCGTACGTGAGTCGAGCGCTCAAAGATTTGCTATATTACATTTTGGATATTGATCGGGTACGGTAGACGTAGATTGTTTTCAATAATCGTTTCTAATAACGTTTTCTGAGACTCACCAGTCGCTGAATTAATAGATACTGAAATGCCTTAGAAATTGCAAATAAAACGAAATGCCGCTTTCTCTGTAATTAAATCGCGACTAAAATCAGAATTAAGTGTTTGCACGTTAAGTTAATTTTAGATAGCTCGATAGTTTTGCACGATGACATTTCTATATACGCAATAATTTTCCGTAGATGTGTGAAATTATGCGAGAAACATATTTCACAAATATTTTTAAGTAACTTAAGATGACTGAGATAAATTCTTCTGACAAATTGGCTTTGTATTTTTTTTTTTTTACTTGTCTCTTTTTCGCTCCCGTATTATTGCCCTATGAAATAATTAAACGCGACAACATCGTGAACGTACCTTAGGACGTACCCCAGTCGTTAAATTGTCCATTTCCCAGCGAAAATCATGTCGCGCTCCGCTGCTAGGTCGACGAAGCCGTCATCACCAACGTACCTCCCGGTTCCCTCGCGCACGTATTCCTGCACACTTTAAGCAACTGTTCTGTAAAACTGCAGTCATTTCTCGTGATTTTCTCTCTCTCTTTCTCTCTCTCTTTCTGTCTCTCTTTTTATTTATTATTCTCAAAGTGTAATCCACCGAACTGTTAAATTTTGTAACTAATTAACGCTTGTTCTCTATGTTTGATAATTTTCATTCGAGAGAGTACGTGATTAATTTTTTTTTTACTATCACTGTTCGTGGCTTTATCTATTTTTTAATAATTTATTCAGACGACATATCACATTCTAGAGCAGAATAAAATATCGCCTCTTTCTCACTTTTCTTTTTATCTTTCCTTCTCATTCATCCTCCTAATGGAGACAACAAGTTTGGCGTTTTTCCCTTCGAGAAAGCGCTTTGTGTACTCTGTCACTGCTCTCAGAGATTTAACGCGTTGTGCAGTTTTCGAAGCGAATTCGTATTGTTTATTTCTTCGGCTCATTTTTACGTATATCTCTTCACGAAAAATCTCACGAGAGAGGATCAATTACTTGCTTTATGGATAATCGATTGCAAAATTTCCGAATACTGCCACTCTCTGTCGGGAATATTTAAGATCCATATTTTTATCACACAGGTGACTAAATTGTCCGATTTTAAAATTTTGTTGAGTTTCAAAAGATTACATCAAGGAAAAATTAAGAATCTAAATAATAAAAATATAGAGATATAAGTTTAACGAGATGGACAATTTTAACAATAAATAACAGACGTTTCGACTTCTATCAGTTCATTATCAATTTAATGTTAGAACAAAGAATTATTATATGCGGTGCGAACTATATATATTATGAAGTTATAAAAGCTAATTTAAATCCTAATATCATTACACTATTTTGAAGTAAAATTAATATTAGGTCGCACTGACATCTTACTGAGAAGTTGCCAAAATCTGATGAATATCGCGCAAATGTAAGGCTTCTTTTCATAGCATCTATGTGTAAAACGATCGAATGTGTAATCCTCTTGTCAACTGAAATGAAACGGTGCTTGTTCTCTAGTTGAATTTGTCAGTTCTTGACAAATTAACTAGAGAACAAGAACAGGTTTATTCTTTGACAAATTAACTAAAGAACAAGTACAGTTTAATTCAGTTTAATTGACAAGAAGATAAACGGAGTCTGTATATTTGATCATTTTACATATAGATTTCTATACGGAAAGAAGCCTTACATTTGCGCGATATTTGTCAGGTGTTGGAAATTTCAAGAAAATTAATGCAATCTCTGATATTGATTTTACTTTAAAATAATGATTGGGTTTCTAACTTTGCGTTCATAATACGTATAGTTTGTATCGCACATAATAATTCTTTATTCAACATTAAACATGACCTGACAGCTGAAAACGTCTGTTGTTTGAAATATTCATTAAAATTTAACAGTAAATATCTAATTAGACTCGGAGACTCTTACTTTCATTATTATATTTTGATTTTTAATTTGTTTGAGTCTTTTTATTGTTTTTCCTTTTTAAATGAGAATTAATTATATTTATTTTAATCGGGCCGATTTTCGTAACTTTTCTAAGAACTTCTCGAGAAAATGTTCAAACGCTGACAGTCAAAGTGAAAGCGGTTAATATTGTGACTATTAAATAATGACATCACAAAAATCGCATCGTAAAAGTAAGTGGCAGTAGTTATTCGGAATCGTTTATTTTTGAAATATTAATACTAATATTATTAATAACAATTATCATATTCTTCTGTTGCTTTTGTTAATTTATTAGAGAAAGAACTTTTGTATACATTATTACTTTAAAGTGCGCAGGAATGCGTGTACAAGAAAAGTTGGTTGGCGTTCGCGACCGTTTTCTTCTTTCTTTCTTTTTTCCTTTTTACTTATTTGTACATTTCTTTTTTTATATTCTGACGGTTTATTTCGTCCGTGATTTTTCACGGAAAAGCAGCGAAACCATGTAATAAACCGCGCGCGAGACATTTCTGTTTGCTACGTAAATTTAAAACAGTTTTGCACTGCGATCTCTTTTCTCTTTTATATTAATCATCTTCTCTGACCTTTCCCTGTATATTTTTTTCTTTCTCTTTTCCATCGGTTCCGGATGCTTCTTCTTTCTTTCTTTCTTGTGCTCCTCGAGCTATTTGCACGGTTAAAAACTCGGAGAGCAGTCTGAAGAGAGCGCGCAAAAAGTGGCATGAAACTCATGCTGTTCATTTGTCAGATGCCAATTTTACGCATAAGATAAGATGAACGTAGATGGATTTGTACGTTCGAAAAAATTAATACTTTATTTATTTGCCATGATAATTACATACACAAATTACATCACAGAATTAATTGCATGGAAGTCATAGCTTTTAAAATATATACGCAAAAAGAATTTTATTTTTTATTTAACTTATGTAAGTTAAAGGATGAACGTATAAAGGATGAATAATGCAAATTAAGTAGAAAATTATCATTCATGCAAAAGTATCATAATTTCCAAGAAGATATAGACGTCATTAGTATGCATATCTATGACATGGCAATTAAAGCATTAAATTGAAATTTGAATAAAATTTTATAGTATGTATGTATAAAGTTACATTAAATTTTTTATACTCATAAGAGAGAATATACATATAATTCTATATTCATAATTGTAATTATTAAATTAAGAGACTTTAATGATAGAAAGCTTTATTTAATTGAGAATTATTTTTCTTTCAAAAACTTGATTCATCGAGACTTCAATTAAATGTCTTGAAAATTAAATCTCAAATAATATTACTTTTATAAACTGTATTGATTTAACATTCTTTTAAATCGTTTAATTTCAATATAAATAAAATAATTAAGAATACATGAAAATCTCTCGAGGAAAAATAATATCCAAAAATATGTCTTACTTAAATGTTTAAAACTGTCCTCAACCTTAATTTGCATGTTAACAATGTTATTCTTTTCTTGACGATTAGTTCTCATTGCCAACTGCGACAGCAGGAAAGCAGAACAATTGAGAACACGATGCGTCAACTTGTTTTTAGTATTTGTTTGTTAAGCTAAAAAAAGCTCACTAACGTTTAATTCTAAAAATAATACTGTCTAAAAAAAATTTGACAATACTGAGGCTTATATCTAAGTTTTAAGTCAAATTAAAAATTTCGAATTTCGTATTTTATAACAGAATACGAGATTTATAATAATAAATTCGAAAAATAATGCATGAATATTAATTACGAACAAGAATATACAAATGCAGGCAAACGAATACTTATTGTACATTTCCAAGTTTAGAATTAATTGTCAGGATGAAACGAAGCCGCGCTGCGTAAATCTAATCGGTTTCGGACGGCGCTAATACGACGCTAAGATCAGCACTCTCAGTATCATCGGCATTGACAGCTTCTGCGACTACAGCATATCAAAAGTGTTTATGAAATCGTACTTCGCTCCCGCGACTTCTGCGAAACGGCGCGAATCGGTCACTGATTAGACCTGGATATAGTCAGTGGGAATGCAATTTCCTGAAAAGCACGTCGCGTCGCTCGTTCTCGATTACACTTCGCAAAGAGGGACTTGCGCTTCCGCCGATGAATGCGGACAATTTCCGAGATGCACTTAGCCATCGTACAGCACATTGCGGCGTCCTGGAAAAGGACACGGTGGGAAGGGACGAGAGGTGATATTTACGCACTCGTTGTACTCAGCGTAAGTGGCCGTTTAGGTTGAATTTACCGCTTGTTGTTCTGCGCGGATACGGTTACGCCCGATGCAATTTCCGACAAAAATGGCGCACGCGCGCAAAAGTATCCAGGATACGGTTACCGCCGTAAATTGAACTCTACCGGACTGACCTCGTGAAATCGACTTCGTTGTCGTTGATCAACATGTTCCACAATACGCACAATTATCGACGAGTGATCGTTAGTCGCGAAAGTAAATCAGTCGTAAAAGACGTGCATTAACGCGAAATCACGTTCTAGTTGTATTAAGCTGATAATTTGCAAAAATTGGTCAAGGACGAGTAACTTCTGTTATATGCAGTATATGTAATCTGTTATGTAATCTGTTACAGAGATTATGTAAAAAAGTTTTATATGATTTTAAGAGTTCAAAAGATAAGCGAAGCAGAGATGTAAGGTATTTGTTTCTGATATGTAAAATATTTACTAAAACAATTTGTATATAAAAATTAAAATTTTCCCTTGAATGCTTCAAAAGTATTGTTTTGTAATTTTGAATAATTTTAGAAAACTGTAATTCGTATGTTCTTCGTCCAGTACGAATATTCCAAGTGTATGATTCTTCGGACAGAATGATTTCCGTAAAGATTAAAGTAAACGTGTAAGATCTCGAATAAAAAAATAATCACAAAAGTGGCACACAGAATATATTTTAAGGACAATTTGCACGTAAATTTTCCCGCAGGCCTAGTTTGTAACTTTTATAACGCCGCTTTTTTGCCATATTAAAAGAGTCACAGAATAGGCCTGCTGAATAATTTGTCGCGGTAACTCGCGTAAACTCACGAACGAACGGTCTTACGAGAATGCGAGGCGAAGACGGTGACCTGCTCCACTCGCGATGACTCGTACGAGCCGTGAGATTCGACTCGATTCTGGTGCAAATAGAACGGCAGATAATAGAGATAGGCTAAGAATAGAGCATTTAAAAGGCGTAAATGGAGCATGACGGACTCGCGCGCGAGTGCACTGCGAGATAGCGAAGCAGCTGGAATCGGGAATTCGATCGCTTCGTCGGCAATATTCGCGCGCAGCTCTCGTTGAGTCTTGTTCACGTATTCGTATATCGCGGAAGTATCACTCGACACAACTATTACGAAACGCGAACGAAAGCGAGATAAAAACGTAGTTTTACGCCGTCAATCCCTAACACGCGATATTTCTACTACTTTCTTTCACGATTTCTTTATATCGTTCGCGTATCAAAAGCAGTGAGAATATTCGTAATCATTATTAAGAGACTGATAACACTGTAATAATCACTTACACGTAAAAATGATAAATTTACGTCGATAGAAAAAAATAAATCTTTAAGTGGTGTAAAACCATAGCTTAAGGAATAGTCATCATCATCATAAACGTAATAATGTTAAATCTGATTTGCAAAGTTTAATTGAAACACATAGCGCTATATTTTATAGCGCTATGGTTATGTAACATAATTAGTATTTCGCTGAAAACGAGACATGAATATAATAATAGTGTTCTCCTCCTTTTAGCTCTTATTAGGATGTAATGATTGTGTAATTTATATATATATAAGTGATAGCATTGTTTCTTAATCGGTAATTAATTAGCATTTGCACGTAAAGCTCTATCGAAGGATATCGTTTTTCTTCTTCTATTTTGAAAATAAAACAAGTTTTTATATACTTTATGTGGTACACAAATGTTCAAATTTAGAAGGTCTTGTTATTTTATAAATATGTAAAAATTTAAAAGAAATTAACAATAATTTTGATCAAACATTTTTTTACCTGACATAATAATTCCAGGATTATTTTATTAGAACTTCGTCGGAAAGCACTCTCAGTTCTTATTACTTGAATTACTCTCGGAAAATAGCGCGATGGTACTTCTCGCCTATATGCTAATCTAAATGCAACCAAATAGCATCGATCGAGTTTCGACGTTGGCACCCTTTTGAGCCCGATCATTAGTCAGCTATCAAAATAACACGCTCGCAATCGTTGCGTGCGTCGCGTGTGCTCTCGTAATACTCACCGATTATACTTTCTGAGGTGGCGTCGCAACGGTGTGCCGTCGAGAGGAAGGCCAGGGCCAAAGCCAAAGCCAGTGTCGAAGGTAATCGTGTCAACTCCATGTTTAGATGTACCGGATCTCAGACTTTGCCGCGACAATTTGCTGAAAGTACAACAAACGAGATAACCATTAACCACATGACTCCACGTACTTATTTTCTTCGATCGTGCGACGAAGTTGCAAAACATTTGTACAGATTTATATTTTCCAAACACGAGCCAATGTGTTTATATATTACAAACATGTCTCTGATAGAGATGGTGTCGGTCTGAATTTTTGCATACTTTTTAAACATTATAACTAGATAGACACACAGCATTATACTAAATTTGTCGAGTAAAGCGAGACTAGTCTACGCAAATGCGAGGGGGGAGCTTGTATTTCATTTAAATTTATACCAATTTAATTTTTTGTAACACAATTCCGAGATATTAAATAAATATGTAAGTATATATATTATATATATTACTCTGTAATGTATTGTAATGTGAAACACGCACTCTTTCTTCGTTTATTTAGAGAGTTTACAGTAGATTTAAAGATATCAAGTATCCTGTTAAATGCACACAATGTCAAATTACATACAATTTGAGTAATTTTTAATCACTTTTGTAGGTCGTGACGGCTCCATCTCAATATATCGTTAATTTAACTAAATGAAATTAAACAATTTAATTCAAGAAAATATATATATTAAAAATTGACTTAAATTCATTATTTACTGGGTGCATACGTTCGTATGGGCGTTGTTTACTCTAAAAATAATTACAAAAGCAGGTGATTTATATTTTGATGTACATAGAAGTTAAAAATAACAAAATGTTATTTAATTCGAAAGGATTGGATTGCCAATGCTCCTTTGATATCTAACAAAGTATATTGTGGCCATTAGCATTAATACATAATAGTCTGATGCATTTACGTGATTTCCATACGCTTAGACGCATAAATTTCCACGGCGCCATAACGCAACATGGATTATATGCGTCGACACGGGCTCATGTATTTATTTAAAACAGCAAATTGTTTAATCACGCCACAAGCCTTAAAATACGTGCTGTTACTGAATTCAAAAAAATTAAGTGGGAAAGAAAGAATGTCTCGAGGAAACGGAGTAACACGATCGAAAGGGAAATAACGGAACATACTCAATTATTCAACACGTTATATCCATATACTTTCCAAATGCTTCGAATAAGCCTAGCGAGTTTTGTTTGATTAATAAGATTCTAGCGATCGTGAGGGTAAAAATTTAGCGATTCTCGCCGTCGCCGATCGGTTCTTAGTCGATTACGAAATCAATATTTACGCGTCTATTGTATCAATATTATATCTTTTGTATGCAACGCGAGTATCGTTACACCCACGACGAAATATCTCTATGCCGATGAGGTGACTCGACAAATCTATTAATACGTGCACACACGTATCGTTCGTCGAGGAGACGCGTACGCGCCATATCGATAGGCACGATCGTAAAAAAAAAAAAGAAAAAAAAAGATATAACAGTCAACCGGCAGGACCGAGAATCGAGAAATTTATGAGTGGATATTCTTTCGATCGGCTGATTCGAACTCCGGGAATATTCCTGAGCGCGTAGCACTGCGAACGAATAGATTGCGTCAAGTACGAAGATAAGTATATATTAATCACGCTCAGTTTTAGTTACTAGAGTCGTTTATTTCGAAAGTCGTTTAGGTCAGCTGAGATATTTGAATCGCTATGCAATTCTATGTCGAGTTTTCATCGCATATTTATGATATAATAGCATATGCGACAAGTCAGTATGAGAAATATCGATATATTAATTGTATCAATTAAGAGAGATAAATCTATTTTCAGTCAAAGCGGATCTTAGTGCTTAAACATATGAATTTTAGAGTGAATTTATAATACATAACATATATTCAATTCTGCAAACCGCGCGAAATTTTTGCTGGTCTTGAATCCCAACTAAGGCAATATTTTTCGGAAGTAAATTAAATTATTTCTCAGTTTTTAAGATATTTAGATTATCAATTTAACATACCTGATATTAAGATATTACTGTTCTGGTCCTATTTATGATTACGTTTCAAGACCGAAAAAAAAGACTGCTTTCTCCTAATTGATTGATTCTTCTCGGTCCAATATTTGAATAGATAACTGTTGATATTAATTGTACTTTTTACTTCCTATCTTTTGTCTGTAATTTTACGAAGTGCTATCAACATGACTTCCATTACTTAAAAGAATAGAACAACCCCGTCTAAATTTTCTACAAAGCAAGTGCTACTCTTAACTTTTTTCTATTGCGATGATTGAATGGGAAAGACGACCAATTCAGAGGGATATTATTTCCCGATAAATTTCTACGCTCTTCAATCTACAATTCAAGGGAACTTCTGCTCCGCTGTGCATAACGACGCGCATAATGACGCGTCGACGCGAGATTGTTTGCAATCATGCAGATTGTTTGCACGAACGAGGCGCGAACAAACAACACTCGCGCGACGCTTGTTTGCTCTTTCTCGTACCTACGTAGTAGGTGGTTTACACGCGGACTCGGCGGCCTAATCCAAATCGCAGATACCGGCGATATAATCACTGGTAACATCCCGCGCGATTACATACGTAAGTTTACAGCGTGAAATATGAGCGGAAATTAGGGCTGTGTAAATATTCAAACAACGATATCGTTCGAATAAACTCGACGCGAGGATTCCTATTGAGAATATTTCAACGATCAAGATACTGAAATATCGGGTTTTGCACTAATTCATCTATACAAATATTCGGGTATATATGCTAGAATTTAAACATTCGACATACTGGAATATCGGGTTTTGCACACTAATTCGTATATTCAAATATTCGGCTATATATGTTAGGAATTTAGTAGACTGATCGTAAACGTTAAAAAATGTAATGAACATCGAAGCATCGTAAAATACAAATCGCTAATATTCCCTATTAAATGTCTCCTTGATGTTTTTTTTTATATTTGTATAAGATATTCAGGATATTATTGCTGGAAACGAGAAGATAAATTTACGTGACCTGTGCCGATTGTAGACTTATAAAATACGTAGATTCCTCTAATGTGGGAGAATAACATGAAAAAATGAATTGAGATGTGCTTCTTACACGAATATAGCAGTATGGAAAATTATGAGAGAATCGCAGTTACCGAGATTATTGCCACAATAGATACTAATTTAGCAATTAGGAATTAGCGTCAATTCTTTCTACAAAAGTGGATGCAAAATGCATACGTTTGAAACTCGAAATTGGACATTAGTGAGAAGATCAAAGAGTTATTTAATTATCATAATTTAGCTATAATTTATAGTAATTTTTTTGGACAACTATATAGTATATATTCGTAGATGTCTTAACCATGCAAATACTAATTTTCTGCTATTAATATAGCCACTCTCACTTCTTGACAATCTTTAGTTTTTTCTTAGCATATTTTTTAATTATTATTATTACATAAATACTATAAATAATAAGTAAAATTAAGTAAATAGTTATATTCACTATAATTGCGATTGAACTTACTGAATTAAAATATTTATTTTATGTATTTTACTTATCTTGATATTTTACTAGATTAATACATATTTAAAATTATCATTAATTATAGTAAACGTATTAATCATGTATATAACTGAAATAAACTGAAAGAGAACTGTGTAGCGAAGAAATAATCTACCCTCGAGAAAAAGACCATATAGTTTTTTATTAACAGACGTATTGAGAATATTTATATGCTTTCAAATATTATTACCACTCGTATATATAATATCGCGGTAGATTGAAAAAAGAAAAGAAAAAAAGTAGAATGAATCATGAATAATTTATCGTAAAAGAACAATCTAATCTTTTTATTATTCCTATTTATGAATTACCCACAATTGGCAAGCAATTCAGTTTGTGATCCAGAATGTTTTGTACGATTATTCGCATACAGCAGGCAAGCAGACAGGTAGTCGTAAAACATCAGCGTGGAAAATTTTCCCAACTCACACCGGCGTGCGCATGAAAGTATATCAAATTCACAAGTGTGTGGCGAGTCTTAAGTGGAACAGCTCTATTATGGGGCGTGATTAATAAATATTCGCACGTCACGCAGGTAGAGGCCGGGTTCACCTGATCTATTCGCCACATGTGCGTACACCAGTGCATCGACAAATCGTGCCGCCGCTTGTCATTGATGTATTTAGCGGCGACGATGTTGGGCAACGTTTATCTCGGATGAGAGAGAAAGAGTGTATGCACTATTTTAGGCGTTTTCATTTAGGAAGAGAGGAAATGCGTTTGGGAGGGGTAACGACGCTCGCTCATAATGTACATTCAGCCGCCACTTGTACTCGCATGTACGCGCTAATATAATTACATTTAAATACAGAAATTATGACTCATTGCGCCTCGCATGTCTTCTTATAAGCATCTTTTTAGTTGTTCTAAAATTTTTTTCGATCACACTCTTCTCGATTACATCTCTCAATACATAAGAGTGAACTCATAAATGTTTTATATATTCTTATCGCTACTTAATAAATTTTTATTCGAAATATTGTTAGATCTAATATACGATAAAATTGATAAAAGTAAGTGTTACGTCTATTATAACAAATTGGTTAGACTGCATATCAAAGTGTACACAAATCTCTAATCTGAGTGCGTTATTAAAACATTAAATTTTTGACATTAAAGTTTTCTTTGCATCAACGAACTATTGATTAAGCTTTTTCGTTTTGTATATTTATTCTTTTCTTTAGATCTTCGTTTTCATTAATTATTGTGCGCTCTTGACGGAGATCTATCGTTTTGTTCCTTTCGGAAAGACAAAACCCGATTTATATATGCAAACCTCTCATTTAAATAGCAAATAATATTCTTCAGCACCGAGAAGAAGTCAGCATATGTGTCCGCAATTTTCGCCGTCGTCCTCTTTGCACGTACTATTCAACTATTAATAGTCATTACCACTTTCACTCAGTGCCGTTATTACTGCTCCTCCTCTCCACCATGACCGCCTCCCGGCGATCGTTCTCGTTTTGCTTCGGACTTTAATTAGGATTCCGTCATGACGCGAGCTCCGGGCTCCAGCTGCT